CAGAATTATCTCTGCATAGGAGGGCAGTTGGTTTCATTCCATTAGTTTTATTTTCCTGCCTGCTGCTCGGCGCTCTGGCTAGCCCAGTATCCTCCCCATCACCCAGCACATTTCCTCCTCTGGGAAGCTGCACAGGTCCCCCCTGCCAGCAGCCAGCACCCCACAGGATTTCCCTCCAGCAGCGAGAATGGGGCCCTGAGACAGGCAGGAAAGGCAGCAATATGAAAAGAAAGGGAACAAGCAGCAGCAGTATGTTTTACAGTGTGTTTGCATGCACAGCGACACAGCCTTCCTCCAGGATACAAGCAAACATGGAAAAAAATCTGAATTACAGGAATGATTACCTCAGCTAGGCAGTTTCCCAAGTCCTTCATCATCCCTCAACCCTCTAGAAAGTTGCTGTGATCCTGCAGTGATCAGTGGATGTTATTTTCCCATAGTTTGTCCAATATAATTCAGCCCTGATGGACTTAGAGCTCATCCCTATTGTAATAGGTCACCATATGCTTCACATCTGGTCCCACAAAAGAAGCCATATTACACATATGATGACAACTGGTTTAGGGCACAGTCTCCAGAGACTGATAACTGTGACTAGCAGTCTTGACAATTTAGCAGTTTCATTAATCAGCATTAAAATCTCATTTTACTATTACAGGCATAATTACTACTAATCCAAATGATGACTAAAATAAGCAATTTCACCAGTTTTGTTATTTAGCAAGCTGATACAGACAATTTTTTTCTGAAATGTAGGCATTTAATAAAAAGCCAACAGCAAGCCCACTGCAGTGTCTCATCAAAAATGGTTGGACCAAGCTGACCTCAGCAGTGATGATAGAGCAGACCTGTATTTAATTGGAAAACAAGCAAAGGATGTGGACTATATATATATATATGTCTTTCAGAATTCAGATCTTTCATTTGTCATGGGAGAAAGTGCTGCTTTAAAATTGCCTGGAATATCTGAATATTTGCTGTCAGGTGAGTATTTCAGTTTACATTTGGGATCAGACTCTGGCTTTTATTGGTGAGGGAAAAGAAAAAGAAGCCAATTTCCAGACAGCTGTATGCAGGGAAATTATGTCTCCTCTTGCCTCACACAACACATCCTGGAACCCACTGGTATTTCAAGTTTGAAACACTTATTTTCAGTGTGTTTTCTACAGGGGATTGAAACTTGATGCGAATTATTTTCTTGAAACACTTGAAGTCCTCCTAAGAGGATAAAACACAAGAGCCTGGATTATTTGCCAGATTAAGCTTTAAGAATTTTCTACAAATTCATTTCCCACAATTACTCCCTGATTGCTGTGTAGAATTCCACGTTTGGGGCTCTTCTCCAATGTCCTGACAACCTTTTCCTAATACAACATGAGCAAGGGGAGGCTGTGCCACATGGACAGGGACATTCTCACTTTCAGTGGCTCCTGTTGTGAGACAGCTGCCTGCAGAAAGTCAGCCTGGAAAACTGAGGAAAATGTCTTTAAAAAAGAGTCAGGGGAAAAAAATAATTTGCTTCTCTCCTTCATTACTCGTCAAATCAAAATCCATCCTGTGTATGCCACCACTGTGTGGGCTAGAAAAAGGAAACTGCATTCTCTTCAAGTCAAACACTTTCTTCTTGAAAAAGGAAGGGTTATTTTCTGTTGAATTTACTGGAAATTGATACCCCAGATTCATTGTAGCAGCAAGGTGCATATACCTTTTAAACTTCTGCAGGATCAGGGCTGGCTAGTTTGCCCTGATGATTATTTTCAGGTGGTTTGCTGTAACAGGAAATGCTCTAGAAGTGCTCTGGAACTGCAGACATGCCTCTGCTCTGTGTGTGTCTAGAACAAACAATTCCTGAAGCACTTGCAGCTGGAATTCCCCCTTTTCCTGCTGAGGGGCATCTGAGTTGTGTCGTCCTCCCAGTGCAAGGGTAACTGAATGCACTTTTGATTGAATTTTGATGATTTTTAGGTAGTGTTTTTTGACAGGTAGGATGAGCCCAGTTTAAATTCATTTTGCTACAGCTACAAAGCAAGGAAAGGCATTTATCCCAGGCACTGCAATTACATTTGGTTTCCTCTAAATCCCACCTTTCAGCGAGGTAGCTGTTGGGGTAAATGAGCAGGGATGCTGGCCTGGAGCTATCTCATGAGGGTCCCTTAAAGGCCACCTGCTGTCTTTCCTGGCTGACTTCTGCCAGGTGGAAACTGGAGCAGGAGGCATTGAAAATCCCCTCAAAACTCATTTTTTCCCAACTGCCAGGAACTCTGGTGCTCATCAAGGAAAACACAGGTGATGTACTGGATTCCTCACATGAGCAGGTCTCCAGAGCTGAAATTTATTTCAAGCTTTGCTTATTTTTAGGACGTTCTTGCTGTTGTTGTCAAGCCCGTGCTAAAGCAATTATTGTGTACGAGGGTCACCTGGAGTTCAGTGTCACTGAGAAACTCAGAGCAGGGCAGAGAATGGCATGAACTGCTCTGCAGAGGGGCTGGCACAGTCTCTCTCCCTTACAGAAACAGAGCAGCTCGTGTCGGAATCTGAGGTATTGTATTGGTGATTCCCAGATTGTAGAAAGTCCCTGTCTGTCAGCCCCACTGCCAAAGCAGAAGCCATAATTCGTCTGTGCTGGTTTCAAGGTTGTTTATTCTGTTTATCTCTAACATGTTCTGCTGCCCTGCCGCAGCTCTGTCCTGCAGGGCAGCGTGTGGGGCTCTGCCCTCAGTGGGATGGTACAAACATTAAATACCACAAACTACCTGTGCTGGATTTACAATAACGTGCCAATATCTGTCACCTATGTTGGACAGTGTGTCCCCAGCCTAAACCAACAGAAAAATGCCAACACCACAGTGAAACATGGAGGGCATGAAGAAGGAGAAAAAGGACAAGACACACCCAATTTCCTCCATCTTGTCCCCTTTGAACCCCTAATCCAGAAACCTAAAATTTTACTTTTGCACCCGTGCCACACTTAATTATTACTGATATCAAACACTCAGAGCTTGTAATTCATCCTGTAAGATTGAAAACTCTTTTCCATGGACAGAGATCACAGACAGTGTCTCTGGGGGCTCTGTCCAGGGGGGTTCCTGACCCCTGCCAGGGTCCCAGACCTGCCAGGGCAGCCAGAGGGAAGCCCTGGATTCCCACAAGCTTGCTCCCTGCCTCCCTGCTTTATAATTTTTTTTTCAAATGAGAGGTAGGTTGAAGCCTTTTTCTTTCACAGCATCGAGCCATGTTGCCAAAAAAACCCTCCCCTGCTCCAGGCAGCCAAAATGCAAACCCTGGCATGTCCTGGGGACAGCTCCAGCCTCCTTTTGCCTGGCCCCTGGGGGGATGGAGCAAGCCAAGGCAGTGCTGGCTGTCAGAGCAGCCCCCCCAGACGAGATGTGTTTTGACACTCAGTCCAGAAGGGATGAACCGAGATGTGACAAAGAGCAAACGAGAGCCAAAGCAAGATGTAAACATGGCCATCTAAGGGAGCCGCTCCAATGTGCTTTTCCCCCATGGTCAGCTGCTCCTTCCCTGTCCAGCTGCTGGGAGTGGGCTGTGTGTCACTGCTGGGTGAGAGGGAGCCTCTGCTGCCTCCATGCAGCTTCAATTCCATTTTCATCTCTTCTAACTCTCCTCCAGTGGCACAACTTTTCCACTTAGGTGGCTTAAGAGGCTGGTTTTTCTACTCAGTGCCTTGGCTGGAGAATCACGATGTAATGCCAGGCAGCTGATCCTGCATCTGAAAGCTCTGAGAGCAAGAGATTTCTGGAGAGAAAAAGCTGCACTGGGGAGGAGTGGGATGCACACAGCAGGAATGCTGGGCTGGCTGCTCAGAGGAACCTCAAGGACCCTTTTAGGAGTGTGTGTCAGAGCCCTGTCTACGTCCTCTCCAGCACAGGAGAATCCCCAGCCCGGGTAAGTGCTACATTCCTGCTGGGAAAGCCTCAGTCATTGCTTTGCTCCCTGCCACAGAAAAGCAGTATTCGTGTGGGGCTGTCCCAAAATGTATTCTATTTTAACAGCTGTGTTTCAGGGAAAAGTAGGATGGATGTAGCTGTTGTTTGAGAGGGGAGGAAAGTAAAAAAATTTTAAAAAAAATTAATCAGAAAATTGCCTTCTCTTTTTTTTCCCTTTTAACTTTTTTTGGAGGCTGAGGAGTTACACTGCTCCATTTATAGGAGCTGCAAGGGGAGGGCATCTTTACTCCTGTGTGTTTCTATATGTGTGTACAAATGTAAACATATATAAAACATATAAATGCAAACATATATAAAATATGAAATATCTTGTTTTCACTTTTATGTGTGTGTGTGTACACACAGCAAAAATGAAAAGCTGCTGCTGTTTTGTGCATTGACAAACATCCCCAGGTGTCAGGACAGCTGGTTCTGTGGGATGCCCACAAACACACACACACAGACTTTGAGGTCTCGTTTCATTATACCCAGCCACGAGGGTTTTTAATGACAGAACTCAAGAAGTTGCAAGAGATTTATTTTCAGCCTCTCTTTCACTCATGAAAATACCTGCTCACAGATAAACCTGTTTTTTTAGCTCAGAGTGGTGGTTATAGGCAATCCTCGGGACAGACATCTCAGGCATTACAAAAATGCTGCAATTTTCATCACAAATGGATTTTATAAGTCCTGTGCAACTGCAACAGAGCAGGGAGAGCCCTGATCCTCTGCCTAGGAGAGCCAAAAGTCCTGCTGTTAACTCCAAACTGCAGGTGAGCTGCTGGTACTGCTCAGGTGTTGGACACGAAGTGAGTACACAGAAGCTTGGTAAGTTCAAAAGAGAAAAAGAGCCAATTTTATTTCTGACCTCACAATATAAAAGTCTAAAAGTGGCAGTGGATTGGAGGATGAAATTGCCACCTCTCCAACCACATTGGTCAAACCAACAGTCCATCAATTCTCTCCTCCCACAAAGAAGAATGCAAAACAATCATTTACATGAACAGTGCGTGAGAACTCCAGTATAAATATGTAAACATCAGAAGGCATAGAAAACTTTTAAAAGAAATTTAAAACTTTCAAAAGAACTATAAAAGAAGAGTTAATGCTTTTAAAAATTAGGGCAACACTCAGGCACGTGGGTTTTATTTGGTAAGTTAGAACAGAACAAAAATAAATGTTTTGATACCACTTTTGGTGGAAATAAAATACATTTTGTTGTCCAATTGTTATTCTCATATTTAATAATGAGAAGTATAAGTAATAAATATAGATAGTATTTAGTAATATATATAGTAAATATAAGTATATTTAATAATGGGAAGTGTATCAGGTAAGCACAGCAGGATTAAAATAATTCCCTGATGAGGAGAGGCCTTCAGGAAACGGCTAGGATTTATTGTCTGTGAGGGTGCTGTCAGCATAAATAATTATCATGAACTTCAAGCAATCAAACCTCATCTTTATTGAAGGAGCGCCATTAAATGCTCAGATTGTTCTTCATTTGATCAAGTGCAGTCAGCCCCTGAGGGAAGGAGAGGCTGCAGAAATCAATAGGGCACGGCTGAGGAAGCCATGGTCGTGTCTGCCAGGGGAAGTGGAGCACCTGAGGAGGGAGGTTGTGTCACCCTGCTGGCATACAAAATGCTCAGGAGCCCTTGAATGGCTTGAAGCAGACAAGGAGTTTAAATGACAACTGGGCTGGGGGAAATCAGGCTCGAAACTCTTCCTTCTAGAGCTGCTGTTTCACTCTCTTGGGTTTCCCTGCTCCCCAGCCAGCCTGGTGGTGGCATCTGCTGTGCCATGAGGATGCTGGTCCAGCACTCCCCAGTGCAGCTGGGTGCTCGCTGCTGCCCCAGCTCTGCCCTCCTCTGTCCCCAGAGACACCCAGAGAGTGAGCCAGGCTTCAGAGCACCTTCTCTTCCCTCTCTGCTTCCAGCTGGTTTTTGTGTCTCCACATCTTCAGAGGAGAGAATGAAATGCTGGACATTAAAGGGGAAAGATCCTCGATTTGTGTGCAAAGGTAAGAACAGAAATCAGGCCCTGTGGACTGATCTTTGATAGTTATAACATTTAAACTTGGGTGTCTGTACTGCCTGGACCTGTCCTGCCATGGTTTAACCGGAGCCAGCAGCTGAGCCCAGCACCCACTGTGTCCTGGGGTGACTTTTTAGTGTTGTTTAATATTGTTCTTTTTTTTTTTTTTTTACTGTGGGAATCCAGGGCTTCCCTCTGGCTGCCCTGGCAGGTCTGGGATCCTGGCAGGGGTCAGGAACCCCCCTGGACAGAGCCCCCAGAGACACTGGCTGTGATCTCTGTCCATGGAAAAGAGTTTTCAATCTTACAGGATGAATTACAAGCTCTGAGTGTTTGATACAAGTAATAATTAAGTGTGGCATGGGTGCAAAAGTAAAATTTTAGGATTCTAGATGAGGGGTTCAAAGGGGACAAGATGGAGGAATTGGGTGTGTCTTGTCCTTTTTCTCCTTCTTCATGCCCTCCATGTTTCACTGTGGTGTTGGCATTTTTCTGTTGGTTCAGGCTGGGGACACACTGTCCGACGTAGGTGACAGATATTGGCACGTTATTGTAAATCCAGCACAGGTAGTTTGTGGTATTTAATGTTTGTACCATCCCACTGAGGGCAGAGCCCCACACGCTGCCCTGCAGGACAGAGCTGCGGCAGGGCAGCAGAACATGTTAGAGATAAACAGAATAAACAACCTTGAAACAGCACAGACGAATTATGGCTTCTGCTTTGGCAGCGGGGCTGACAGACAGAGACTTTCTACAATCTCAGAATCATCAATACCCACAGATTCCGACACCAAACCAGTTGGGAGAGGGGTTGCTTGAATTTGCTTTCTAGAGGAGCCCCTTTAGAGGTTTTCTCCCAAATTTGCCCTCAACCAGGACACGCATACTGCCTCCCTCCACGTGGGAATGTTCTGTTCCACTTCTTGTAGCGACATAGAGCCCAGCAAAGCTGGAACAATTGGCACAGATTTTTTGTTAGAACTACTTTCATGTCTCATGATTTAAAAACTTCCCTGTCACTTTGTAGTGCATTCATATTGAAATATTTCTAAATGAAAAAAAACAAAATATTTGTGATGAGCTGATTATTTTTTTTCCCCTCATATTTTGATCACAGGAAAATGGAAAAAGCTAAACTTGAAAAGCACCCTGGAAAATTAATAAGTAATAATAAATAAATTTCTAAAGTAAAATGCCTTTTCATTGGGAAGCTCTCTGTTCTTCCCCATTTACAAGTGTGCACACTGAGCTTTGTGGATCCAGCTGTTTCACCAAAAGGAGAATATGGGATGTGTGCCTCAGATAACTGAACGTTTTTTATGTCAGAAATGCTGCAGAGGACACAGATAAAGGCTTTACAAACAGATTTCATGGGTTTTCCCTTTCTGATTGCTGGTGGAATATTGACAAACTCGACCTAATTCAGAGTAGGAATAACATGCCCTATTCTTCCAAGTGGGCTTCTGTGCACAAAGAAGCCTCGCTGCAGTCCTTGGAAGTAAAGACAGCAGGTTTCAGATCCTGCTAGCCTTTCCCCCAGAAGGTTCAGGGTGCAGGCTTAAATCCACAGAGCGAGCGTGCCCAGCTTTCCCTGGCCTTCTCAAAGCTTCCAGCGTGTGGCCCTTTCTGTGTGGCACCAGGTGCTGCAGGAGCCAAGACAATTCTGCATTTCCACTGATTGTTGTCACCAGCAAATCCTGTTCTACGGGGTTATAAAGGTGAAGATGAGGGGATTCTGTGTGTTTGTGCTGCTCTTATCTCCTCCCTGAGCAGCTGCTTTACTGCCCGGCCTTTCCCATTGTGTGGGGAAGTGGCACCGTGGCCACCAGCTGGGAATATCAACTGGCCCCAGTGGGAGCATGGAACTCCCAGCAGCTGCCAGCTGGGAGCTGCAGCCTCCAGCTTGCCCAGCAAGGCAGGTGGCATTAACACCAGGACCCTGCCACGGCCAGAGCCCAGTCGTGCCCCCACTCCTCCTGCTGCTGACCAGGATTGATCTTTGGGATCCTCTGGCTTTGCTGGCCATCTGTCCATGCCCATGGGGTGCAAGTGTGCAGCTGAAACCTTCTCCTTCTCCTTCTCCTTCTCCTTCTCCTTCTCCTTCTCCTTCTCCTTCTCCTTCTCCTTCTCCTTCTCCTTCTCCTTCTCCTTCTCCTTCTCCTTCTCCTTCTCCTTCTCCTTCTCCTTCTCCTTCTCCTTCTCCTTCTCCTTCTCCTCCTCGTCCTCCTCCTCCTCCTCCTCCTGCTGCTTCTCTCTGGCACTGGCCCCCATGTGCTGGTTTAGGCTGGGGTTAACTCTCTGCCTCTGTGGGGTGCTTAGAAAGTGGTGTCAATAATACAGAAAAACTTAAAAAATAGTTTAAAAAAGTTTAGCTAACAATACAGAAACATTTAACTCGTGCTGAGCTGGGCTTACATGGAGCCAAGGCCTTTTCTCCTCTCGGCCCACCCACTAGGGGCTCAGGGGGCACAAGATGCTGGGAGGGGACAGAGCCAGGACAGCTGACCCCAGCTCACCCAGGGGACAGCCCAGGCCATATGGCCTCATGCTCAGCATGTAAAGCTGGGGGAGAAGGAGGACAGGGGACATTCAGTGACAGCATTTGTCTCCCCAAGAGGCCATAATGGGAGCTGGACCCTGGGGATGGCTGAGCTCCTGCCTGCCCCGGGGGAGCTGGGGAGGGAATTCCTTGCATTGCTTTGCTTTGCTTTGCTTTGCTTTGCTTTGCTTTGCTTTGCTTTGCTTTGCTTTGCTTTGCTTTGCTTTGCTTGCATTGTGGCTTTTGCTTTCCCTATTAAATTGTCTTTACCTGGAAAATCCTTTACCAGGCTCTTCCTCACTTCCACCCTTGCCAATTCTCTCCCCCATCCCTCCAGGGGGAATAAGTGAGGGGTGTGTGGGGCTTAGTTGCCAGCTGGGGTTAAACCTTGACACCTTGCAAAAAATGTTAAACATCTTTGGCAGGAAGTACTCAAATGGAAGTGCCAACCATGCATCACACAGAATTTATGGATGTCTTCCCCTCACATCTGAAACCTTGCATTCACTGAAGGCCACAGCACTCAGATATTATTGCCATGTATCTTACACAAACAGGGACTCAACTAACCTCAGGTCAGGGAGTGGGGGAGCGTGAGATGCTCTCACCGTGTCCTCCTCCCATTTTTATTTCTCTGGATGTATCCTAGATGCATTTTAATAAGTAGGAGCTGTCAGTATAACATCTTGCCATTCTCATATCCTGTGTGGGAACATTAAAATAGCATTAATAATAACATAATAAATTATATATTAGTTATATTGTGTGTATTAGTTATAATTATATGTGTTATATTAGTTATAATTAACTAATAAATTATTAATTTATTAATAATTAAAATAATATTAAAATAAGCAGTTCATTTTTGATCCAGAGATCTTGGAGTGTTTTTTGAGGTACAGGAGCAGACTGGAGGAACAGGGCCAGAACAAATGCAAGTCCTGCCCTGTGTTGGACTGTGCTGGAATGTCACAGACCCCTGTGCTCAGCATTTCTCAGGCTGCATCACAACTGAGATTGTGAAATCCAGGCTCCCTCATGTAAGGAAGGAGAAGAAACTCTGCAGGAACTATTTCATCTGACTTCTGCATCACCATCCAGTTCTGCCACAGGAGTGTCCTTAACCTGCAATGGGGGGAGTACAGTAATAACATGTCAACCCCAAAATCCCTGTCCTGCATCCAAGGCTCCTGGGATCAGACTTTGCCACATTTTATAGCTTCAAAATTAAGACTAGAGCTGGCAGTTTTCATCTTTGGGGATGTCATTACCTTTAATTAGCAGCTAACACTACCCCTAACTGAGAAACTGAGTAATCTTTGTGACTCACACCGCCAAGCCAGAATAAACTGCCCTAAGGTTTGAAAGCAGCTTCAAATATCACTTATTTCCATCCCTGCTTCAGACACTTTGTCTTCAAATTGGCTCAAGAAAGCAAGCACATCAAAGATCAATACACTTCAGGGAACGTGGGGGAGGAAGGGAAGAAGAGTAATGGTGAGATGATTCCCATATTGCTTTGAGGCACATTAATATTTCTTTGGCCACAAAGCACAGATCACAGGTGAGCTGAGCTCCGAAACAAGGTTGGTTTTGCTGCAAGATGCATAACACTTGTATGAGCTAGGAGCCCTGCAGGTTTCTTTAATGGGTACCAAACATTTATTGAGAAAACAGGAAGGAAGAGTGGTGATTTAGCACCAAAGCAGTTGGCAGAGGCTCACAGAGCACAGCAATGCACTGTGATAAATGTAGGCAGCAATGTACATCACTCTGCACAGTCAGAACCAAAGACTGTATAGACCAGGTAAGAATTAACCAAATACCAGAAAAAAAAAAAAAAAAAAAAAAAAAAGAATACCAAATTGGATATTATCCTCCAGTAAGTCATTTTTTTGGGAAAGCACTGGCTGGTGTGACCGGGGCTTGAGACTAGGGCACAGTGTGGTGGCAGTGCCAGAGTTCACACTTCTGTAAGAGGCTTTATAATCAGGCAACAGCACTTAATTTTGCTCTTAATAAAAAACTGCAGGAGATTAAGACCAAGCTGAAGATTCCTACTGCCATCCTGGGATTTAGAGGTTATGCTGAAATCATTAATACAACCACTATTTGAACTCTTTTGATCACCAAGCATTAAATTCATCCCTGAGTACATAAATCCTGGGAAGCAGGAAAGCAGAGCTACCAGCATTGCTGGTCCTTTTTCATCTGCTTTTCCCATCATTGCCAGCACTTGTAATGTCCCTCAATCATCCCCTGAACTGCATAAAGAACAACAGTCCCTCCCCATAAAAAGCACTCCTAAATTATCCTAGAAAATCTGGAGGGGTTTTTTTTTTGGTTTTTTGGGGGGTTTTTGTGTGTGGTTTTTTTTTTTTTTGTTTGTTTGTTTTTTGGGTTTTTTTTTTTTTTAAATTTCAGACTCTCAGAGCATCCATTAAAACCCCAGGTGGCTTTGTTGCCTCCCTGGGGCTCGTGTCCATGATTTGTGCTAGCCCAGGGAAGCAGGCCTGGCCCTGCCCCTGCCCTTTCTAGCAGCAGGTACTTCTCAAAGCACAGAGCCTTGGTGCATTTGCAGTTGTGACAGCCCAGTGCAGGGCAGTGCTGGCAAAGGGTGAGACATATTTCATTGTTTTTTATGCTATTATTATTTTTTCTTCTCAACCTTATCCCTGTGCTGTGATGATAGAGAAGAAAGCTTTGTTGGTTTTTTTTTTTTTTTTCTGGGAGTAAAATGAGTACCTAACATAAAATCTGTGCTCTAAACCTGACCTCAAGCCATTTATTAAACCAAAATTTCCCTTGCAAGTAGATGAGTCAGCACAGTAGTCAGGGAACTCTAATAGCAATTTCTTGTTGTTGTTTTAGAAGTTTTTAACAAATATTTCTAAGTCAGACAAAGGATTATGCTAATGAACCTGCTGAGCTGACACTGCCTTTCTACAACTTTTTAAGACAATGGCCACAATTTCTTCTAAAAGCAACTCTCTCATTAGCAGGAAGGCTCCATAACACATTCTGGTTCTCACAGAGAAATAATTCCTCTAGTTGTATTTTCTATTTGACTTCAAGCAGTATTTGAATAAAACTGTCACTCCAAAGTGTTATGGCATTGTTCCACAGCCTTTCTTTTCACATCCTTTTCCACCTTTAAAATGAAGGTTCATATGAAACCTCTACCTGCTCTTGCATCAAACTGTTGTTGTGTGTGTTGGGCTTTTTTAAGCGCCCCTCACCGCAACACTGACCGCTCAGGTGAGCTTACAGGATCTGGTGGGAGGTGGGATGGACTTAGCAAGGCTTTCATCACTCAGCCAGAATGGAGAGTCTATCAGTTACACCTGCATTGGCAGGCTGCTGAATTAATTGGCACATTTGACAAGGACAGCTATCACCCCGTGTTGTTCTGACAGCTGGGCTTGATACCAGGAATTTGTCAGCTTCCCCTTCATATCAGCTGCTGCAGGAACAGTTGAACACATCAGGTGAGGACACTGCAAGATTTCTTCCCCCACCCTCGCCACCCCAATACAATCTCAACATCTGGTGATAACCTAAACCCTAAGTAAAATTATGGACTTCATGACATCAATAAACAAGCAGCAATTGCCAGACCTGTGCTGCAAACAATCTCCTGACTGGGCTGGCAAGGCATTCAAGGAGTCAGAGAACTAATTCATTACCGTCAGAGAAGTTAGCACCTTTCAGCAGTGACTTTCTGTGTGCCCTTCAAGTGCCAGTGATACTTATTGGGGGGAGTGCTTCAGGTTTGTCTGAGTTTGGGACTGGTGTTTACAGAAGTGTTGATCACTTAAACCTCACCTCACTTAGGATCAGGAGCAGGTTTGAGTTACAGTTGGATGTAAATGGTTCTGGGCATGGAACACTGTGCTGCTCACTGGCTGCCACTGTCCCATTTTGAGACAGTTTCTAGAGCCTTGTTCTTCATTTTCCATGGCTGCCCTCAGGAACTTTTCCTGGCCTTTTAAGACCAGATTAGAAAGTGATGTGTTATTTTATAGAAAACAACATGCAGGCATGCTCCTGCCCAGAGCTGGCAGAGGTTCACTGGCCTCACAGTCCTACAGTCTCCTTCCTCTAGCAATGCCTCAGGTTTAGGTTTTCTATTTCTCACATTCTGTGCTGCTTCAGTGTGCACTTCTGAGCCTCACATGAGGGGATGGTGAGCTCCCTGCACAGAGCAGGGACACAAAACAATTCCTTCTCCAGCTGGGCACCAAGGACAAATGATCCAAATCTCAGCCCCAAGAGCACAAACACCGTGGGCTGGAGAGAGAAAAACAAGCAGGATGGGACTGCCTGGGCTGGAGCTGGAATGGGACAATGAACTCCAAGGTGCCAATGGAGCAGAACTGATCCCAGGGAGAGCCCCCGGGAGCGCTCGTGCATTTTGGGGCCATTTTGGTTCATCTTGGGTGCAGCCCTGGCTGGGCTCTTGTGCTGCCCAAGGGGGATCCATGGAGAAGATGCTTTTAATCAATTCCTACTTTATTCTGTAACTCGGTCCAGCCTCTGTTCCAGGTCAGCCTTCTCAAGGCATCACTAGAGGCAAATACCTGAGCCTGTCCCCAGCTTAGTGAGAGATCATCCCTTTCTCTGTGAAGAGCAAAAGCCAAGCTGTGCCTCTGCCCCTTCTGCTCCCCTTGATGCCTTAGGATTTTAGGTTTTATAGTTTTCAAACCTTGTACTGCATTAGTGCATAACTCTGAACTCCATACAAAGTGTAGTAAACTGTCTTCACATTTTGGTCAGACAGAACAATCACTCTGGGCCTGTGACGCGAGGGCACGCCACAGCTTCAGGCCCTGAAAAGTATAAACAAAAGTGAATTGGGAGGGAAAACTGAGGGGAATATGACTTCATTAGCTGAAAGTGTAATTGGAGGATTAACCCCTGATATGTTATTGGGCCAAACTTGCATCTGTCTGAAAAACTCATGAGTGCCATCCATCTTGGGTGTAGCCTCAGAGGCTTTTGACTGCCCTGTCTGAAACCCTTTAATAAATACCCACTTTATTCTCTTAACCTTGTCTAGCCTCTGTTCTAGGCAGCCACTGCAAGGCATCACTCTCTGCTGGGCACAGAGAGGGAGAAATGCCCTTGTCAGGAGATCCTGCCCAAGCCTGACAGGAGGGCAGTGAAAATAAACTCATCCTCACAGCCTAAAGTGGCTCAGAAACAAATCCTGAGACATGAGACTCCATTAGGTCTAGCACTTAGCTCCAGTCAGGCTTAAAAGTTAATTTCTAAACAATTAGGATAGTCTAAAGCTGTTAGAAAGTAAAGACTTAGCACAGTTCTATAAAAAGGAAAAAAGAAAGGCATGCCAAACTTCCTAATTCCCCACCTCAGCAAACAAGTAGCAGCTACTTGGCTTTTCAAATGCCACGAGGTAAACTGGGGAGAGATTTGCCTTAGGGCAGCCCTATAGCCACAAAGCAAGTCTCTTTTTTCTTTCATAAAATGACATTATTTTTTAAAATCTGGAGGGCTGGCTATCCATTACCCAAAGAGTGGCAAAGGGACAGAGCAGCAGGAGGGCTCTGGAAGGGCCTGGATCCGCAGGGAGATGGAGCTGCCTGACTGTGGCAGTGTGAAGGCAGAGGCCAAGCCTGCTATCTGTCTCTTCTGGGCAAGCAAAGCGTTGGTCTCCAGGTAGGTTCTCGGGGTCTGGGGGTCGGGATGACCCCAAGAGTGTAAAAGTCCTTGTTCTCCCAGCCCATGCAGCCAAAGAAGAAGTTTGAAATGTGTAGGGTCTGCTTCTCAAGGTTGCTTATTTTCTCTTATCTAGAACATTCTTTCTCTGACCTGCTGAGCTCTGTCCAGCAGTTTGGCCATGGCATTCTGTCTGCCCTCAAGGCAGTGTTTGCATTTTATACCAAAAACTATGTGTGCTATGTTTACAATAATGTGCCAATGTCTATCATTTATGTTGGACAGTGTGTCTCTACTTTAAACCAATAGAAAAGTGTCACCATCACACCAAGACATGGAGGACAAGAAGGAGAAGAAGGTCAGGACACGCCCCCATCTTGTCCCTCTGAACCTTATTTTAAAAAGTTTCAAAATTCTACTTTTTCACCCTGTTTTAATCCTATTACCACACTACTCAAACCCTTGTGGCTTGTAATTCCTCATACAAAGTTGGCAGTTTTTTCCATGAGCTAAAATCGAAGCCACAGGTGTTTCTGACTTTGTGCCAGGGTCTGGAGCCAGCCTGGGCATCCAGAGGGATGTCCTGGACTCCGACAGTAGGTGATCACCATCCATGCTTTATCCTACAGTTGTGGCTCCATTCCCTGAGGAAACACAGCCAGGAGGAACTGCTGCCCTTCACCCGTCAGCCCTGGCTTAACTGTGGGCCTTGAGGCCAGGCTAGCATTAGTGCTGGAAATAACTGCTTTTAAAGCAAATAATGCAGGCAGGTTTTCATTTGTACCTGACTGGTTTTGCTGGGAAGTGGTACACAGTAGAGATCCAATCACCCAAGGCTCGGTGAAAAGACACAGAGGAAACACAATTATGGTGCTTATGACTGTGGAGGGGAAATAGCTGGGACCAGGTCATTTATTTTTTTTGACCAGGTCATTTGCTCGTGGCCAGCAAAACCATTTTATCCAGTACACGGACATGTGGTTACCACCAAACTCCTTTAGCAGGTAGTCCAAGAAAAGTAAAGTTAAAAATGTCTTTTACAACGCACCCAAAAAGCCAGCAGAAAACAATCTGGCAAGCTCAGTCCTATGGATCCTAGTAGGAAAAAAGTTGCCCTGTGGTATCCAGTTGTTCTATTTTCGTAGCCAGGGGCTGCTGACCTGGACAAGGGTTTCAGGCCTGGAAAAAACACCATGGTGCCTGCCTGCCCTGGCCTCAGACCACAAGAAATGCATCCCTGGACTCTTGTTCTGCCTCTCATCCAAAGTAAAATTCCCTAAGCTGGGGAAGGATGCAAGGGGAGCAGCTTTCTTATTGCTGCTACATCTGCCTGCAAAGCTGGTAAGTGATAAACTGCAGAAAACTGAAATGTGCAATGGACAAAATGTACCCCAGTTTTTGCAGATCTGTTGATATCACCTCCAATTTAAAGGGATATTTTAAACAGATGATTCAATCAGCAAGCAGAGAAAGTTTCAAAAATTAAGTGCAGTTTAATGGTGAAGCATTTCCATTTCCGAGGCACTACCTTGAATTATGCAGCAGTGCATCACACTAACTTTCAAGTCAAAGTGACCTTTGGTCAAAGTATATTGAAATAATCTTACTTTGTAAAATATGGGTTAGGGGAAAAGCCCCCAGCATCTGGCACACATAGATTTTGCCATTTCAAAAACTTGTCTTGCCAAATGAAAAAATACAGTCTTGTAGGTGTTCATTAGCAACAGAAGTAGCATGGGGATCCATACCTACAGTTAGTGTGATCAAACTGAAATGTTAAATTACCTAAGCAAGAACTGCACTGGCAGATTTTTCCTAGAAAAATAAAGGATAGTCAAGTAGGCTGAGGCAGTAAGATTACCTTTAAAATGTTTTACTGTGGGCCTAAAATAGCTACACAGCTTTGTAAAAAAAAAAAAAAAAAAAATAAAGGCGAGAGAAAGGGAGGGGGGAAAGAGAGAGAACATAATTTCCAAACCCTTAGCTTATTTTTAATTTATAGTCCTTGGAAAAAAAATAAGTGGATAGCCCAATCATTTATGTGCCTGGGCAAAAGCAATACATCTATATAAAAGTACAGTGATATATTTCTGTTGCTAGTTTAATGTGCTGCTCTGTGCCCTGTGTGTTCTGATTCATTGGAGAGCAGCAATCATGTCGACAGGAGCTGTTCTTCAGTTCCCATCAGCGACAACTAAAGGCCAATTCAAGGTTGTGGTGGGGTCATGAATCTAACACACTCACTGATGGAACAATTTTCCTTCTGCATGACACTGTTGGTGGGACACAGAGGGAATACACAGCAGCTATGTCCTGTTTCCTCATCCTTCCTCCCCTCTCCCCAACCCCCGTCCTTATTTTTTTTTTTTAATTTTTTTTTGTTATTTTTAATTTTTGCTGATGGTGTGCATGCTGTTAACAAGCAGCCTCTGGGGAACACAGAGTCAGCACCATGGAAAACAAGAAGGGAGGAGATTTCTAAGCCAGCACACTCCTGGCCTCTGTGCAGGGCAGCTCAGCAACATCGACTCATCAACTTCAAATCATCAGTGGGAAAGCTGGGTCCACCCTGAGACAGCTGATGAGATACCTTGAGACACAGCTGAGGGCATGGATAAAGAAGAGAGGTTCTGGACCAAGCTCCACAGTGTCTTCACCTCTGCTCCATCACCCTTTGAGCTAAACAAAGAGGCATTTTTATCTGGCTCTAACTGCACCTGAGCTGCTGTCCTCCTGTGGTATGAAAAGAAGAGCTGAATTCTGCCTGACAATATTATTTTCACACATTGGAGATTGTGGGTGGGAACTTCCACTGAACTTGGCACGAGCTTTGCCCAAGCTGAAAACAAAAAGCCAACTCCCATGTGCGGCTGAGAGAACTGATCTTGGAGCTGGTGAGGGTTATTTTATTCTTGTGCCATTACCTGTCACCACAGGGCTGCTCTGGTCTGAAATAACCACCCAGGGCAAGGTGAATGGTTGTATTCCATGCTCTGGTTATTCCCATGCCTGGAAAGCCAAAATCCCAGCTCAGAGCTGCAGTGGATGGGGATAGGTCCAAGCTTCTCTGTCCATCACATTTCCTCCCCTGTGTGTGACACTCACAGGGGATACCTGGAGCCAGGCCTGGAGGGACACCTGGAGCCAGGCCACGCTGCACAGGTGTGAAAAGGCCACCCGTGGGGCTGAGCACAGCACAGCTGGAGCACTGGCAGGCTTCCCCAAGAGCATTAGCTCTCACTCACTAGCTCTCAGGCCCTGCAGCTGTACACAGTTGTGTCTGGGTATCTGATTTTTAAACCTTTTTTTATAGTGCTGTAGTTGCTCCTGATCAAGCTGACTGCAGACAAGAGCCCAGCACGTGCTGAACTCAGAGGCCGACGCTGGGGTCACCATCCTCTTCCATGTGTGCATGTGTCTGTCCCACCACAGGAGCAGAAAATGAAGAGTATACAACCTCCCAAAGCCCAGCCTTTTGCTCTCCTTTGGGCAGAATGTTTGACCATATTGATTCCATTTGCATTAAAAATGCTTCTCTGGAAATGAAAGACTTGCATCTGTCTTATTATTTCAGATCTGAGCTGGCAACTGAGTTAATATTAAAATGACACATAGACACAAATCACATTTTCTGTGTTACAAATAACAGGAGCAAAGCGAATATGCCAACATTAATAATTTACCTTTTGAGCTTATCCCTTCTTTATTTTTCTGAAACCTCCACAAGCAGATTGCCATTTCCTCCAGTTTATTCATTATTCAAATTCAGCCAACAGTTTAAAAGAACATGTTTACCTAACAGATAGCTTGCATTTTGCTTCCATTTTCACTGCTCAGTATTTGTAACAAAGTGTGAGTCACAATTGTGTAATTAAATCATATAATACAATTCCTGTTCCTCAGCTAAATCAAAATGCAATACTTCTGGGGGAAAAGTACTGCCAATGTGTCTATAAAAAATCAAATTTCTACAAACAGCTTTGTCTATGCCTGAATTTCATCTACATTCATTCTGGCTAACAACTCAGCTGCTGGGATGTTTAGCAAATAATCACGAAAACAGGCAGAGCAGCTTTATGTCCTGCCTTCCTTCTCTGCAAAGGACGAAGGAAAATACATTTGCTTTCCTTGAGCCATCTTTAGCTTCTTCTGCCACCGAGTCACTGCTTTCCCCCGGTCCTGCAGGTGACATTAAGAACAAAAAAAGGCCACTGACAGCAGCTGCCTTTTAGTTGCCTTTTATTCACTTCCCAGCAGCAGCCTTTGGGGTTTTGCAGATCCACGGGGAAAGTGAAAACCAATAGTAAACTAAAGAAACATCAGGAGAAGAACAATAAATCTTTCACAGTTCCTCTCAATCCTTGTTTAGTTTTTATTTTACTCACCTAAGGAAAACAATTTTTTCCCTCCTGTTTTAGTTATTTTTTGTTAATTTCAAACAGCATTCCTCATTTATTTCAGGGCTAACCAGACATGGAACCTGCATATACAGAAACTTAAAAATGCACCTAGCAGACCTTTTGCAGATGTGATTTTTAGCTAAGCTCCTGGCTGTCCTGGTAGGATGCCATTAATTCCTGTCCATGAGCACTGGAAAGGCAGCATCCCACCAGACCAGGCTGCTCAGAGCCCCATCCAGCCTGGCCTTGGACACCTCCAGGAGTGGGACAGCCACAAGGTCTCTGTGCCAGGGTCTCACCACCCTCACACAAAAAGAAATCATAACAGTTATATATGATTTAAACATGTGAGACTCTCTAATTGTCTCTGATTTCTGCCAAGCTGGGCTGAGATGCTGCTGAATGAATGTAAAATTTAACACCAGTTTGCACGTGTACAGCTCTTGGAAAAAAGCAAAGCTTTTACAAAAAAAAAAAAAAAAAAAAAAAAAAAAAAAGGAGATGCAGGGGATCTCTTCTTGTAAATCCATTCTGACTCCAAATGGCAGCACTCTCTGCATTTTTGGAGGAGACAGAATAGATTTAGAAAGTGGCTGCTCATCGATTTATTGTCTTTATGCTGGACATAGTTTTTTATTAAAGAAAGCAGATACTCAATAATGTTAACTAGTAATGGGAATTGACTTTTCACTAATTGCACAGAACCTGACATTAATACACTTTAATAGAAAATAGGCTTGTGCACTCCAGATCAATCCAAAACTTTTTTCTGAGTACGCAGCAGACAAAGGGCTCCAACAACAACACAGCAAAGTAAGACATTGCATTTGTTCACTTATTATTCCTTAATTTATTGGGATAGGGAAATACCTCCAGGGAATGAGGGAAATGCTGTACCTCAGCTGCTTTTCCACTCTCTGTTTGCTCCACAGGGCTCAGTATTTCCTGGTCTGCTGTTCTGCCCCATTTGCCTAGTTTGTAAACAGGAGCATTTTTGTCTGCCTCAGGTACTGTGGAGTGCAGGCAAAATAAATGTGTTGGATGTATGACATGAGAAATAAAACAATTTATCACTTAATATAAATATGTTATGATTGCTATAATTATTATTATTATCATTACTATTATCATTCATGTTGTTATTAATGCTATTATATTTGTTTAAAATGTTAATGTTAGAAAACAAATTCTCTGTATGTTTAGTTTCACCATCTGGCTTCTCATTAGAAGGGCACAAGTGGATTAAACACACCAGGGGCTAAACCCTTCTGTGTTATCTGGGGTGTGTATCTCTGTGGGGCTCAGCTGCCTCCCAAGACATCATCGTGAAACCCTTTTTCTGGGGCCTGGCGGGGGAAAGCCAGTGGGCACAGCCAAAACCACTGCGTTTTCACTCAAGTGTTTGGAACATTTGCTGCAAGGAGGCTCGCTCCCGTGGTGCAGTTAACAGATACTTTGCATTGCCTGTCAGCCACCTCCAGGAAAAAGATGAAGACAAATGAAACAAGATCAAGACTCAGTCCCTGTCCCCCTGAAACTCTTGCAGGAAATGAGACCACGCGCTCTCACAGCAAACAGTGGCTCCAAGTGGATCAAATTGGAGTCCCAACCCTTTTTAGGCGCTATTACCAGTCCAATAAAGCAGCTAATAATAAAGGATTGCTGCTTTATTTCCTGCACTTAAATAAAAGGAATTGGCAAAACCTTGCTAATCATTCCCGATGGTGAAGCACTATAGCAGCAGACAGGCTGCTGGAGAAAGGCAGGAATTTCCAGCAGGACTTTTGAAGGGTGGGAGTCCATGACTTCATCTGAATAAAGTTTGAAGCACCCTCACCTCTCTAACCACAGCTCCCACAGTTATCAGCTACTTTAGATCCTCTTTAGCCTTCTCTGAGCCAGCTGCAGGGTCCTGGCAGTGACACCCGGGCTGACAGTGCTAGTTAGTAACCCATGCTCAGTCACAGGAAAGTCATTCTTAGTTCTGTGCTCTGAGTGGGTGGCACAGCTGGCATGGCTGTGCCACCCACACAGAGCACAGAACTAAACTTCTGCCATGGCTGGATTCCCAAAGGAAGGCCCCGAGATGAGCCAAGGCACAGCACGGCCCTGCTGCTCCCCAGGAGTGAAATCAGCTCTGGAAGAGGAACCCTGCACTTTGGAGGATTCTGTCTCACCTCAACACTCCAGCAGGAGACAGCCAAACCCCAGAGCGAGAGCCCCTACATGGGGAGGGGATCCCCCAGTTCCCCCATAGGCTGTCCCCATGGCTCCATCGCTGCTGTGGCTGAGGTGCCTTGTGAAGGCTGCCCTGGAACAGAGGCTGGACAGAGCTAAAGAACAAAGCAGGGATTGATTAAAAGGATCTCCTCCATGGATCCACCTTGGGCAGCACCAGAGCCCAGCCAGGGCTGCACCCAAGATGAACCAAAATGGCCCCAAAATGCACGAGCGCTCCCGGGGGCTCTCCCTGGGATCAGTTCTGCTCCATTGGCACCTTGGAGTTCATTGTCCCATTCCAGCTCCAGCCCAGGCAGTCCCACCCTGCTTGTTTTTCTCTCTCCAGCCCACGGTGTTTGTGCTCTTGGGGCTGAGATTTGGATCATTTGTCCTTGGTGCCCAGCTGGAGAAGGAATTGTTTTGTGTCCCTGCTCTGTGCAGAGAGCTCAGCATCCCCTCGTGTGAAGCTCAGAAGTGCACACTAGAGCAGCACAGAATGTGAGAAATAGAAAAGCTAAACCTGAGGCATCAGTTGGGTACAGGAGGATGCAGGAAGGTGGGAGGTCCCCCTAGCAGTGTTTCAGGCTGAGGTCTTTGCCATTAGAAAGGAGAGGGAATGTGTTCCTGCAGGCAGCTGAAGGGCCCCTCGGGGTGCAGCACACTGACTTTGTTTGGTTCCATTTTGGCCTGGGACCAAAACAAGGATGAACAGCCAGAGCCACATCACTAGTGCCAGGCTGTTTGTGCCCCTGGACCTGCCTGTGGCAACAGGAGGTCACCACAGCTGCTGTGGGCTCAGGGCTTTGCTCTGCAGCTCATCCACCCCACCTGATTCCCCTGGCCCTGGGATGAGCTGCTCAGTGAGCAAAACCTGGAGAACACTGGAATTGCCTTTTTGCTTCTTTATCTTGCTGCTGATCAAAGCAATGGCAGCTCAGACTAAACTCACTGCTAAGGAACTATGATTAGTTTACCATCATTACTATTTAAAAGTGTGTTAAGATGCTGCTTATTAAAAACTACTAACATATTATTGATTAACGTCCTGTCTTGAAGTGAACTTATACCACTATCAATCAGTGAGAAAGCCACTTTTATTTGTCCCCTTTCCTAAAATGCAAATTTATACTGGACGAGCCACTCTACTTGTAGTGCCAGACATGTTGCTTCTGGATACCTGCAGAAATGCAGGGTAACTTGCCCCACAGGAATGTTTTATTTAGTGAGAGAGCCCTTTGAAGTGAAAGGGTAACCATTTCTGATCATAACCTCTGCTTTGTACTTCTAATAATTATCCTTTAATTGTATTACCCTGTTTGAAATAGATTCGTAATTGGAAAACAACAATTTGATGTTCCCTGATGCATACTCTGACATGCATTATTTGCTTTTTATTCCAATATAAATGTTGTCTGCAATTCTATCAAAGAAAAGAGAAAAATAAAACCAAAATGAAATGTCTGTAGCAAATTTGGACATGTGAGAAGCATCAGCAACTAGTGCTGGGTGGGAAAAATAATATTATGATAATATAATATAATGCAATGTAATATCATATCATATATCATATCATATCATATCATATCAATTAGTGGTGTCAGTGGAAAGAAGAGATGTGGAAGGGGAAAGGGCTCCAGCTCTGCTCCTGAAGAAGCTGTCTCTGTTCCACATGGTGGTGTCTAAATACTGAGCTGGGTACCAGCTGAATCTGACGGATGGATGGGCCTTTAAAATTGTACTGAAGCACAGAAGATGCAGAAGCAGAGTCTCCAGCCTTCCAGCTAAGTCTGGAATAATTACTGAGGTCAGTGCAAGTCCATGGAGTGCAGGTCCCCTTTCCTCATATCCTACAGGACAGAACACACACTCAGGCACAAAAGTGGTTTTACTTCTTCCTTCTTGGACAGGTTCAAACAAATCCAGGTCAGTGGTAACTTATACCCATGCCACTTTTATCTGGGATTTCTGAGAGAGGAGTTCCACCCAGTTTGGCTGGATCAGCTGCACTTCACAGTCCTACAAGCACATGTGCACACACAGATTGCTGAGATCTGACTCAGCCCTGCCCCGTTTGGAGCACTATGCAGATAGAAATAAAGTAAGTTACAGGTACAATGTTAGTGAGATAGGTTCTGTCACTCTGCAGCAGAAATGGAACTTCCAGCCAAGGATGTGCTCAGAGGGTGGACAGAGAAAACCACGTTAGCATAGTTTGGGTCAGAGGTGTCTGAGTGGGATGGAGTCTGCACACAGAGCTGGGTGCTGCAGCCCTCTCCCAGCACAGAAGGAATTGCAGACATTTTCTGCAGCAGCTCCTGTGCCAGATGTCCTCTGACAGCAGCCCTGCATCCTCATGTGCTCCAAACCACAGCCAGCCCAATCTTTACTTCAAGAAGTCAGCAGGTCACAGACAAGAAACTACCTCAGGGGAGTCATAAAGCAGAGGTAGTTGGCACAGGCCAGGCTGGATAAATTTGGCCTTTCTGGGGTTTTTGATATAAACAAAACCAAACACTCAAACCCAATAGGAAGAAAACCTCTTGTGAAAAATAAAATTCTGGTGTTGTCTGGAGATATAACCAACTTCCATTAGTATAAACTACTTCTTTCTACCCAGTTTGTTTATACTGACCACATCCAACAGGAAGCACAAGAAAAGGCATCTGCTCTGCTTCTGCCCGTCTGGCTGCCCTGTCCCCATATCCAAGCCCCATCCTGAGCTCCAAAGGGAAACGTAAGTACTGAAGTTCAGATCCAGGCATTTGGCACTTTGGACTTCTCTAGATCTTCAGGGAACAATCCTGCAAAGGTTGCCCAGCATTTTATTTTGGGAATTCCACAACAGAAGGGCTTTTATTTTAGGTGTACACTGTAACTCTGTAGCTGCTTTGCACAGTGGCTCCTTAGGATCATGAGATGTTCGGCACAATCTCTCCACCTGATTCACACATAACCAGTGAGGATGAGTGGTGTGTTTTTCCAAACAGGTCTGTCAGTCTCAGCATTTCATCCTGACACATTTCACCTGGGCAGAACACGCCTCTTTGCTTGGCTTCCTTCACTGCTCTAAGCAATTTCACTCAAATCACCAGGACTGCTATTAGGAGCTCACTGGTGAGATGTGGAACAGTGCAGCTGAGGTTTGGGGCTCCCTCAGCGCTGACAATTTAAGGAGCCTGCTGGAGGTGAGGCATTCTGCACAGGTATATTTAACAGAGAACTGTCTCTGATTTTTTTCTCTTTTCTTAGAGGTGAACTCCCAGGAAGCAAGCACAAAGAGAACAAATGAAAACTAAGCCAAAACATAATCACTCTAATTATAATGACTACTAAAAAGAGATGGTTAAGAGAGAAGTTCCAGGAGCATTGAAGTCAGCTGTCAAGATCCAGCCCATCTCATTGAGAACTGACAAGCAAGTCAGCTGAGAGAGCAGTACCATGTTATAAAAGAGACAACCAGCTTGGAGGTTTTTGGTTATCTGTGAGTTTGCGGGGGTGGTGGTTTTTTTTTGGTTTTTTTTTTTTTTTTTTTTTTTTTTGCATGCTACAAACTTGCAACAGAAAATTGATTAAGTGGGAAGAAAACTCATTCTCACCTGGATTATGACGTACTCTAATGCAGGATTAACTAGAAAAAGAAATGGTGAATTAAGAAAATTTATGTTACTGAAATTTGGTAACATCTTATTTTCTACCTTTAAGCCAAGTAGTTATGTTAAAAGGTTTCTCAGATAACTTGTGAGGCGTTTGAAGCTGTGAATAAAATAGGAGCTTTGGATTTCCAGTGATTTCTCTTTGAGAATTTAAATTGTGATGGTGCTGGTAACCAGTTTACTCAGGCTGCACAGCTGGTGCTTG